TCATCATCATCATCATCATCATCATCATCATCATCATCATCATCATCATCATCATCATCATCATCATCATCATCATCATCATCATCATCTTCAGATGATCTAGCGCATCAATTTCGCGTTTCCTCCCATTTTCTTATGACCAGTGATTCAATAACTAGGTCCAGTTCTCGCACATCATCACGGTAAACGTAGATCTGTACACTGCAGATTGGTACGTTACTTTTTATGAGATTCTTGTTTACCAAATCAAAGAGCATTTCAAAGAAATTTAACCAACCGCTCCAAAATTAAAGACTCGAAGGCCTTCATTGAAATATGTTGTCCCGCCCTTCAATAACAAAGCAACTTTCATTGGAGAAAATATCTTTTGCAGGTATATCAGCTGGTCAGCACTTTACACATACAGGAGGGATATCAAATACATTATGTCTGCACCCAAATCCAGAATACGCAAGTTACTCGGATTCTATAGATACCTCACAATGGATTTATAATATTGAATACAAGGTCAGTGCATTCAGTCCTTTTGAACAGCCATTACATCACCATGATGCTCCTTGCGCAGTTTGTCTCCTGGAGACTCGCGGTACCAAAGTAATGATACCCGGTCGAAACATTTGTCCATCCGGCTGGACAATGGAATATAAAGGATACCTGCTAAGTGAGTCTTACGCGAGCAAAGGCCGTACCGTACCTTTGTGTTGCGCATTTGTTGTTCCGTGTTTGGGGGCTTTTTCTTGGTGTCTGGCCGGGGTTGTTTTGTGTTGTTCGGGGGGGGGTTGTTTTGCGGTGCGGGGATGTTTTGTGCTTGTGGGGTCTTTTTGCCTTGGCGCGCCCGTTTTTTTTGCGGTATGCAGCCGGGCTGGGGCTGGTCGAGTTCTGCGGGGGGGGGGTCATGCGTGTGTGGGAAGAATTATTTTGGTCTGGGTGCGTGTTTGTTTGGGTTTTTTCGGTGTTTCTTCTACCCTTTCTGTATTTGCTGTTTTTGGTTTGTCTGGCTGGCTTTGCGGGTTGTAGTGGCGCTGCGTCGTTTATTTGTCTGGTTTTTTAGCTTAGTTTTTTTTTTTTTTATTGGGTTAGTATACTTGTTTATTATGTTTTGTCGCGTTCGTGTGGTCTCTTTTTCGTTTCTGTTTTTGTTCTTGTTTCTGTGAGTGGACTAGTCTTGGTGTCTGTGGGCGTGTTTTTTTTCGCATTTGCCGGTTTGTTGTGTGCCCCGCCTCCTCTGTGCCCGCGTTCCCGTCCGCTCGCCTTTGGTGTGCGCCCGGCCCTTTCCATGTTTACATTTCCCTGCCTCTCGTTAATTTTTTTGGTCTTCTGCCGGTGCGGTCCGACAATTTCTGTTCTCCCGCCCCGCCTGGGGGCGTCGTTGCTTTCATTGCCGTTTTTTTTCTCTCCTGTTTTGTTCTTTGGTTACTTCTTTCTTTGTTCTGGTTCTCCTTGCTTTTTGACATTTTTCCTCGCCTCTCTGTTCTGTTCTTCTTTTTGCGTCCATCGGCCCTTCTTTCCCCTGCTTTTTCCCTTCTTGTTCGTTCTTTGTCTTGTTTTGGTTTGCGGCCTGCGGGAGCCTCGTTTCGCCCTGTTTTTGGTTTTTCGGTGTCCCCAGTGTGCTCTTGCCCACCGTGCTGGTCGCTATTTTCGGTGCTTTTTCCTCGCATGCCCGGCGGGCCGTTTGTTGGGGTGCGGTTTTCCGTGGTTAGTCGCCGGTATTTTCTCCGGGGGTCTTCCGTTCCTCAAGTCTGCCCCTTTTTCCTTTTTTCTTTTATATGGCCCCCAAATTTTCTCACCATTTCTTTCGATTTGATGGCTTGCTTGCGTTTCGCCTAACCTTCTTCCATTATGTGAAGGCCATTTTAGGCGCCACCCTCGTGCCGGTCACCTGGTGACCCTCCAGCAGCTGTTCTCTTCCGGTACCCCCTTTTCCGTCCAGGGTCGTGCAGGTTGCGACGGTTTTTTTTGTGCCCTTTAGCTCGAGTGGGTGTCGGCCCCCTTTTTTGGGCAGTAAGTCGGCTGAACACTCAGTTCCTCGTTCCGCGTGTTTCTTTGATGATTTTAAAGCGCATCACTTTTCGTGTCCTCTTTTGCCCTTTACCCGGTTATCCTTTGATGCTACCTTCCTGTTCCAACTTTCTGTACGTGCGGCTTCTCTGGACTCGTCTTTGTAGGTTTCATCGGGTGCACGAGTGGCTCGCCCCTCTGCAGTTTTATGCATGCTGCAAACGGCTTGTTTGCGCGTGCAGCATGTTCATTTTTGCGTTGTCGCTATGTCTGTAAGTCTTGGACATATTGCCGATCAGGTTTGTTTTACAGAGAATGAATGCTCTGTTTTTCTGTCTGCTGGGATTCTGGTTCCGGTTGAAAACGTTCTTTGTGGAACACTCTTTTTGTTGCTGCTCTGCGGATCCCGGCGTTAGTCAATCAAACGCACCTCTCATTTTCTATGTACGGTTTTTTCAATTTTTTTTTTCAACTTCTAGCTCGTGGTTTGTATATGTTTTTTTCCTTGCTGTAGCGTTAAGCCCATCGCATAGCCGAGTTGTGTTGCATTCTTTTCCAACGAATTAGCTAGATATGTTTTCTCTAAATGAGTACTGTTATACTCTGATGAAGAAAGTTTCGCCCGTTATTTTTCCAATTTGATCGAACTGATCGGAATAATTACTGTGTGGCAAAACTTTGCAAACTAGGGCACAGCATTCAAACAGCGGGATCTCCGAGCATGCGGACAAAGTAGGGATGGAATCAAGTGGCGTAACTTGTCCGCCCTTTGCTTTCGTGCTACTGTCACGATTATCAAAGTTTTGAAATTGTTTGTTTGCCAGTAAAGGCTGAAAGCAGAATCGGTTTCTATATGCAGACTTTACAGTTGGATTTAACGTTGCGTAGCTAAGCTTGTTTGGTCTCCTGTGCCTATGTAAATTGATTAACCTCTGTAGCTCTCTTCGTTGCATCTTGAGTACCTGGGCCCATGAGTTGCAAGAGCTATGGTGCCTGCAACTTCAGGCTGTTTAGCTGGGGTTAAAAATTAGTTATTGGCATTGTTTCAGCTTTGTTAGCCTTCAATGTAGCGTATTTAGTTCAATTCTTTTGTTTGGTGTAGAGCGTTCCTTGCTTGTACTGGTGCTGCTGTTACTTGTTTTTTTTGCGTTTGTCTTGGTCATGATAGGTCGTTTGTTACAAGATCGAGATATTTAAATTGCTATAATACGCAAACGCTCACTTGTTATGTGTCAATCCATGAATATAGTTTATTTAATTAGATAAGTAAGTTTTTGTTTTTTTTCTGGTCGTGGGGTACTAGCTATCGCTTACGTTTATATGTGCAATTCTTTGTTTAATTTTTTGTTATTATGGCTTTTGCGATTTTGAAGTTGGTGTTTTAGTTTCGCAAGGCTCGTCGTATTGGGTTTCTCGGCTTCAATATGGTTGGTATTACTGCTTCCTGAGGTCATCTGCTTGTTTGGTGTTTATAGATAGCTACTGCTTAAGATGTGGGCTGATTCATTTGCAGTTTAGATTGGGTTGGGTTATTTCTGAGGGCAGCAGATGGGTTTATTCTAAACTCTTGACGTTTATTTTTAAAATAGTTACATGGAAGATAACAGAATACTACCTACATAAGGGTTAACTCGCAAAAGCCAAATTGTTTACACAAGACGGGGAGAATATTACTGTGTATTGTCCTATTTGAAAGAATCTGCTAAATATTAGTGCATGCTCCAAGAAGTATGATGAATAATAATATCATGCCTTGTAGTTCTGTTTGTTTTTCTCAATCAAGCGATCTTGCATGATATTGGGTGTTCAATTATTTAGTACTTTGTCTTTTGCTAATCAACATCTGGTAATTGGTATTATAGTTTGTTGGGTCTATGTGCACTCCTCAGTATATAGGCTTTACAAGTTTTCACTGTGGTATTCAATCAAGTTATGTCTGAATTTGGCGTATTGTTTGGCTGCTCCTGTAATCGAAGGTATTCTATTGAAAGCCAGTGTGCCTTCTACTTATCAAGATCCGGTTGATTTTGTTCATTTGTTGGAGTGTAACTGTGCTATCAAAATAAAATAAAATAAAAAAGAAAAATAAAAAAACTATAAAAAATGGTGGACATGTCATAGTTTTTTCCCATAGAGATCTGGCTGACTTGAGTTTGTTTGTGGGGAACCTGCGTCATACAAATGTTACGTTGAAACCAAGTGTAGAATTATCTTTCAATCTGGTGGTAATAATAGATATAAATGGGTAATCTGCTTTACATATTTGAAGTCATCAGTTTGGGTGCTTAGCCATGGTTCTTGTTTTGACCACAGAAGTTTGTGGTGGTGGATGAATGTTTAATGGTAGTAATATAAAATAACGATAATATAATATATAATGATAAG